TAATAGGACAGGTGGACAGGTTGTTTCCTTCTCACTTAGAAAGTGATGATGGGCTTAAAGGAATTACAGTGCAGGACTATGTATATGTATATGTATATGTATATGTATATGTATATGTATATGTATATGTATATGTATATGTATATGTATATGTATATGTATATGTATGTATATATATGTATATGTGTGTGCATACATATATGTATAAGTATAGACATACATGTATATTATATGTTTGTGTGTGTGTGTGTGTATACATAGTTATACGCATACACACCCACAGACACATACACACAGATCTTCAAGGAAGATCTTTTCCAATGATTCCTCTTTCTCAAATAGCAACCCTTCTTTTTCTCCCAGCACACTCTTGCTGCTGCTGCCACCATAACTGACCACTTTGAAGATACTACAACCAGACCTTTAATGGCCTCATGACCTTTTGAAACTTACAGAGTCTCCTGGGCTCATCCGTTTTGAGGTTGCTGTTCAATCACCTATTGACTCTGGAAGATATACTGCTTCCACTGTTCCCTTACTCTACTCTACCATGAAGTTTTGAAGAATCCTTATGATTGCACACCATAAAGAAACAGGAACATTTTGGGAAATGGGGAGGGGGGAGGGCAGGGATTTCAGCTTCCTCTTGGTGCTTTTTTTAAAAATTTTATTTTTAGGCAATTGAGGTTAAGTGACTTGCCCAGGTTCACACAGCTAGTAAGTGTCAAGTGTTTGATCTAAGGCCAGATCTGCACTCAGGTCCTCCTAACTTCAGGACCGGTGTTCTATCCACTGCACCACCCACCTCTCCCCTCCCCATTGGTTTTTAAGCCAGAACTGTGGGTATATAGATAAGCGTTAATTAGTATAAATAATGAATTCCCATAAGTTGTCCCATACATTCACAGTATTTGAAGTTATAATTATGTAAACTATGGCAGTTTATTCCAGTCCAATTCAAACAGGTACTGCAATCCAGATAATGTGACTAATTCATAAGATTAATTATTTGCATTAATTGGAAGGTAGCTAAGTTTTGCCTTGAGAACCAATGGGAAGACTTCACATATATATATATATATATAGACTAAATCCTATATAGACAGAATCTATATAGTGTCAAAAAGAGATGGGCAAAACGGCACACATTACACAAATGTGCCCTATAAAAAGGAAAACCAAAGAGAAACTTCATAACAGATAGCTTTATTAGATTTGGCATCCAAAGAACTGGGTTCAGATCTAGCCCCTGTCATTTATTAGCTGTGTCTCAAGTCATGAAATGGAGATAACCATAAAGAAACTGCCTATGTCACAAGATTGTTGTAAAAATGGAGATAAAGTATGTAAAGTGCTGGATAAACCACAAGATAGTAAGTACAGGGGAGCTATTAGTATCACCAAAAATAGTTGTAATAAAAATTACTTGTCCATTTTCAACTAGCTTTCATCTAGTCTATTTTCATTTGTCTTCATTAAAAACTCATGAAAATATTTTTAAACATCACAAATTTGATAACAGGTTTCTGCCAAACATTTGACATTAAGTCATGAGCTTTTTTTTGGGGGGGGGAGGTGATGTAATCAGGGTTAACTGACATGCCTACGGTGACACATGTAGTCAGTACTGTGTGTCCAAGGCCGGATTTGAACTTGGGTCCTCCAGACTCCAGGGCCAATGTTCTATCCACTGTGCCACCTAGCTGCCCGAAGGCATAAGCTTTCAATTAATAATTTGCCTGTATATTTTAAGCATTAACAAATTTAATTTATTTTCCATATTTTTTTCCCTATATATATCAGCTACGTTTTTTTTTTTTTGGTAACACACTTTGGCCCTCTCCCCAATAAGTATTTTATATATATATATATGTATGTATGTTAGAAAATAATTGTAAAATGCATTACTAATTTTCTATCCACAAATTGTACACAGTATAATATGTAAGTAAAGATTCTGTTACTTGTTAAATAGGACTTCTAACTAGCCAACCCATAGCCCAAATGTAGTCACGATACTAGATCATAGAAAATGTTATTGAACATCATATGCCATCTATTTTTTTTTTGGCTAGACAATAAGGCTAAGTGACTTGCCAAGGGTCAGACAGCTAGTAAATAGTATGTGTCTGAGGCCAGATTCGAACTCAAGTCCTCCTGACTCCAGGGCCAGTGCTCTATCCTCTGTGCCACCTAGCTGCCCCTATCATTATGCCATTTAGAGACAGCATTGAGGTTCTGTAGGATATCAGGTACGGCTGATAGAACAGAGAGAGTCTATCCCTTGAAGAAATGTTGACAAGTCATGTCACAAGTAAAACCAACAACATATGGATCATCTGACTTACACACTGCACCAAAAACAGTCCACTATAGAAACCAAAAGATGTATACGATTAACTTGCATTTTGGTTGTTTGGACAGAAAAAGAAGGAGGAGGAGGAGTACAAGAAGTAGAAAATAGGGAAGAAGGATGAAAAGATGGACAAGGGGCTTTGGAAACTAATGAAGATGGAGGAAAAGATTGAGAAGATGGAGAAGAAGAAGAAGAAGAAGAAGAAGAAGAAGAAGAAGAAGAAGAAGAAGAAGAAGAAGAAGAAGAACAAGAACAAGAACAAGAACAAGAACAAGAAGAACAAGAACAAGAAGCAGAAGAACAAGAAGAAGAAGAAGAACAAGAACAAGAACAAGAACAAGAAGAAGAAGAAGAAGAAGCAGAGAAGAAGAAGAAGAGAAGAAGAAGAAGAGAAGAAGGAGGAAGGAGGACGAGGAGCTTTAGAAGCTGAAGAAGATGGAGAAGGAGAAGATGGAGAAGGAGAAGAGGAATTCATGTCATGAATAGAAAGCAGCAGAGAAGCAAAAGTGGGGGGACAACAAGGCTAGTTTGAGAATAACCTGTTCTATTCCCCTTTGCAGATATTTCTTTATGCCTTGAGGGTTGAATTAATTTCAATGAACAAAAATCTTCTAGCTTCTACTCTACATTATATGTCCCTTAAAAACAAAACCAACTTTGATGATCTATTCTAGTGTCATCCTGCAACAGTATCATTATCAATGATATATGGAGAATCCAAATATCTTTGTTGGAAGGGACCTTAAAAATCGTGCGTCCAGCCTTACAATCAATGTAAGAATTGTTTGAGCACTGCGGTCAGACAACTTCTACTTGAGGGAAATTGTCTCAAAAGCAGTCCATTCCATTGCTATAAAGTTTATTTTTCCTTATACCAGCCAAAACAGGCTGCTTTCATCACTGGTCTTAGCAATCTGTTTTGGAGACTCCCTGGTCTTCACAATGGCCCTTGACATATTTGAAAATAGACATGCCTTCCAGTGGTCTCCTCTATCTTAATCATTCTTAGTTCATCCATATCTCTTCTCTCTGAATTTATCAATCTCCCTCTGATGTGTTTTAGGGGTGCAGGGACCACAAAATAACTTGGTTCAGGGCAGAGTCATCTGTAAAGAATTCACAAACTCAAGTAGTCTTCCAGTCCAGGGACAAAAAGTTTATTGTACCACTATTGTGGCAGGCAGAGCTTCTTAGGGAACTCACAACTTAACAGGAGTGATGCTAAAGCTTATATAGGAAAAGTTCAGTGAGTGGTGTGCCAAGTTTGCTAATTAGGTGGTGAACATACACTTTCTGTACCTTTTGGCACAGGTGTCGTTCGCTATTGGCGTGGCCTGGAGGAGAACTTCTAAAGAATCTCTACCTGTACACCTCTACATCTATAATAAGATAGCTGGGGAGTTGGGAATTGACGTCTATAGCTTGACCTCTGGATTGTATATGGTAGGTCTGCTGGTACAAGATAGTCTTGTTCATACAAGGAAAATTCTACAGAGGTCAGCTTGTTCTTGTAACAGGAAAAGATAGTTTGCCTCACTGGGGTCTACGCATGAATTACTGCCAGAGATAGGGCCTTTGGGCTGGGGAGAGATATGTTCCAAGGACTGGGGTCCGAGCACAAGTACTTCATCACCTGCTAATATGTAGCATCCATAATTAAACACAACAGCTGGACTGCGTTTCTTCAGCCCAGAGTCAAATGGAATCATCCTTTGGGATTTAAACATTATTATTCTATTACTATAGCCTAAGGATGTTTAATTTTTTTAGCAACTTATGATCAACGAAAACTGACATATCTTTTGTTTTTTCAGTGAACTGTTGTAACCCCTTCCTTCCCACCCTTAATAACAGCATCCATATGGCAATTGTAATTCTGCAGAGGCTGGGCTTGAACCCAGGGCTTCCTGGCTAATGCCAACTCCACCCTCCCTGGACCAGGCTCCCTGTCCCATACAAATCATTCTCCCTCCTCCTGGAAGCAAGAAAGGGGAAGGGATAATCAGAAGAAAGAAGAACCTAGACTGTATTTGTCCCAGGGCACCGAGCAGACCCCCATGACACTTGTTTCAGTCTGGGCTTCACAGAGTCATGAAGGGCTGGAAGACACTTGGGAGGTCATCTAGTACAACGTCTTCATTTGACAGAAGAAGAAACTGAGGCTCAGAGAGAAAAAGGACTTTTTCCATCTTCGCAAAGGCAAGTAACAGAGTGGGTTCCAGGATTCGAACCCGAATCCTCTGAATCCAGATCCAGCACGCTTCCCATTAGGCCACCCCCCGTCCTTATCCCCGCTACTTTGCTGTGCATCCCTTTTCAGCGGAGAGAGGAAAGAAGCTGGAGCACCGAAGCAGCCTGGAGCTCAGCCACTTTCAGATCTAGAGCTTTGGGCCCCTCCCACTGAGAGCTAATGGAAGCAGCACTGAGCACTCACCTGTGCATGCCTTTTCCATTGGGCCCATGCATGACACAGGAGGATCTGATAAATGTATGCGGAATTGTCTGCCTCGAGGCGTTGCCAGGGCTACAACTGTCACTAGGCTTGAATCTTCTATAACTGTTGCGCGCTCTGGAATCTCTTAACCTCCAGTCTCCGGCCACTGCAGTTCTCTGTAGCGGAGGCGAGGTCCCGGAGGCTGAAAGGCCAAGAGAAAACCCCTCCCTATTTCTCCCTACCGGCTCTGAAGTTCAGTAGCGAAAATGAAAAAGATTTTCAGTTTCCGCAGAAAGCGAACAGTGAATCCACTTCCAACCTCCACCCTCAGGAGGAGGGACAGCGGGGTCCAAGAATCCGATCCTAATTCAGGATACCTGATTAGGGCCAAGGACCTGGAGAAGATCCACAAAGCTGCCTCCACTGGGGATGTGGCGAAGGTGCAGCACCAGCTGCTGCTGAGGAAGTCAGGTGTGAACGATCGAGATAAAATGAATCGGTAAGAGGGAGTGGGAAGAGGGGAGAGAAGTGAAGCCTTCCCCCGGCAGCCTAAGACACCCCACGCCTCCCTCCTTGTGTGTCTGTGTGTCTTTACTCACCCTTGGAAAAGCTGTTCCCCTCAGCAGCTGGGACAGGACAGCACCTCCCATCACGGTCAGGCTTTCCCTCCTGGACATTGGATAGTAAGTCCGGAAAGGTGGTGTCACCTCACCTTCCTGCCTGTTCAATTTTAATGAACGGGAAACTCCTTCATTTTACTTTGAGCCAGGGTCCAACCAACTTATATTTTCTCAATGGCAACTTGGGAAAATACTACTCTCTTCTAGTGAAATGTAGTTTTTGAGTCGTTTCAGTTGTGTGTGACTACCCATGACTGTGTTTGAGGGATTTTCTTAGCAAAGATACTAGAATGGTTTGCCATTTCTTTCTCCGGCTCCTTTTATGGATAGGAAATTCAGGCAAACAGGGTTAAGTGACATGCCCGGGGTCACATGGGTATCTGAGGCCAGTCATGAACTCAGGAAGATAAGTCTTCCTGACTCCACGCCCAGCACTCCTGTCCATTCTAGATGCCTGCCCCATGTGGGGAAACATGGCCGCGATATGTGAAGTGTAAAAATGCCAAGGCAGAAAATTAATTTCTGCTTTTATTAAGCATCTGCTATATGTATCAGGCACCCAACTAACTGCAATAGATACGAAGAACTTGGGGAGCGGGGAATGTCCTTGCATTCTAGGAGGTAATCAGAAAGGGAGACTAAGGAGGAGAGGATGGGATACTTAGGAGGAGAACCAAGAAAGAGTAGTGGTACAAAACCTAGAGAGAAGAGAATATCAAGGAGAAGAGTGGTCTAGTTTGAAAGGCTTCAGAGAGGAGAAGGATGAGAATTGAGAAAAGACCATTAGATTTGGCAATTAAGAGAGCATTAGTATCTTTGAAGAGTTTGGAAGCCAGACTGTAGAGTGTTAAAAGAAAATGACAGGAGAAGAAGTGGAGACAGCTGTTGTCAAAGGCCTTCTCCTCACATCTAACCACAAATGGCAAGAGAGATGTGGGATGAGAGTGGGGACAGATTGATCAAGTGATGGTTTCTTGAGAATGAGGGAGAGGATATGGGAATGTATGTAGGCTATCAGGGAAGTAATTAGTAGGCAGGGAAAGATTGAAGATAAATAAGAATAGGAATGATAGAGGGCATAACCCATTAGAGGAGATAAGATAGAATGGTATCACTTCTACATGTAGAAGCATTCTCAGTGGCAAGGAGAAGGGCCACCTATTCCTATGAGGTGGCTGAAGAAGGACATAGTGGCAGAAGGCATTTGTATGTTAGATGAGAAGGAGGGGGAAACAGGGAGGACTCAGGTAATGGCCTCAGTTTTTTCTGTAAAATATGAGGCAAGATTTTTAGTTGAGAAGGTACATAGTGAACCAAGGGAGGTTTGAGGAGGGATTAAAAGGTTGCAAAAGCTGCTCTGGTGAGTGGCATAGGGAATTTACCATGGAGCTAGAATATAAAGTGATTGCCTTGCAGCAGTGAGAGCCCAGTTGAGATTATGTAACATAAATTTATAGTAGATCTAGTAAACACAGTTGTATGATTTTCTCCACCTTTATTGAGTAGCAAGTGTATAGGAAGAAAGACAGTAGAAGGCAGCAGTGATTCAAGGCTGAGGCTTGGCAAGACACAATTGGCAAGATTATAAGGCGGCGACGTACCAGGCTCTTACTTCAAAACCTTGCCATCATGGTAGAACTACCAAAACTTGCACCCTGCTGGGATGGCCTTTAGCAGCACAGATTCACTTCCACTGTCCAATGTCACGTGGCAGTAAGATTTTAGTGGAGAATGCACACACATTTGCACACGTGCTTGTACAAATACACAATATGCAAAGATGTAAATGTTTTTCTGAGGCAGCTGCTTTACTAAATGTTTTGTAATTATGGATGCTCTTAGTGGAAAGAAGTTATTATTACACTTAACAGCCAAGCAGGGTGATGCACACCGGTAATCCCAGCTACCAGTGTGACTGAGGCTGGCAGATCTCTTGAACTCATGAGTTTGCAGCTGGTGGGCTATGCCAGAATGATGTCTGCATTGAGGCTGGCATCAATATGGTGAATCCCAAAGTACGAGAGGCCATCAATTTCCCTAAAGGGAGGTGAACCAACTGAGGTCAGAAACTGAGCAGAGTTCCCATGTCAATATGTAGTGAATTTTTAATCTGTTTTTGTTTTTGTTTTTACCCCTGGCAATTTTGTCCATCATATCGAGCAAAAAGAGCTAATGCATATTTTATATTTCTTTGGGTGACAGTAGTATCCATTTATATTCATTTTGGCAGTGATTTAGAGTCTAGGCATAAGAATAATAATGCATTTTAGGTTAGAAATCACACTAACTAATAAGTGCAAAATTGTGATTGTTGTAATACATTATCAAGCAGTCACATAGCTCTCTCCTTTCCGTAGGACACCTCTACACCTGGCCTGTGCTAATGGATATCCAGATGTTGTAGCTCTCTTAGTAGAGAGACACTGCGATCTAAACCTGCTGGACAATGATAATCTAACACCTTTGATGAAGGTATGTACTAGTTAATCATGCTGGTCAATGAAATGCTTTTTGATTTCTCTCTGCTTAAGAAAATATGATTTACAAATCAAAACAACTCTGAGGTACCACATCACACCTATCAGATTGACCAACATGACAAAACAGGAAAATGATAAATGTTGCAGGAGATGTGGGAAAATTGGAACACTAATACATTGTTGGGGTAGTTGTGAAATGATCCAACCATTTTGGAGAACAGTTTGGAACTATGCTACAAAAATGTGCATACCCTTTGATCCAGCACTAGCACTTCTAGGGCTATATCCCAAAGAGATCAAACAAATGGGAAAAGGACCCACGTGTACAAAAATATTCAGAACAGCTCTTTTTGTGGTGGCAAAGAATTGGAAATTAAGAGGATGCCCTTCAATTGGGGAATGGCTGAGCAAGTTGTGGTATATGAATGTAATGGAATACTATTGTGCTATAAGAAATGATGAACAGGCAGGCTTCAGAAAAACCTGGAAAGACTTATGTGGTCTGATGCTGAGTGAAGTAAGGAGAACCAAGAGGACTTTGTACACAATAACAGCCACGTTATGCGATGACTAATATTGTTATACTGAATCCTTCTCAGCATTGCAAGGACCTGAGACATCTCCAGAGGCCTCGGGATGGAAAATGCTGTCCACGTCCAAAGAAAGAACTATGGAAGTCGAATCGCTATCACTCATTTTTACCTTCTGTTGAGTTTTGTTTCGGCTTTCTGATGGTTCCTCCTATTGGTTTTAATTTTTACTTACAACTTCACTAATGTGAAAATATGTTTAATAGGAATGTAAACGTAAAGCTTATATCAGATTGTGTGCCGTCTTGGGGAGGATGGGGAGGAGGAAGGGGAAGAAATATTTTCAACTCTAAAGTATATGGAAGTGATTGTTGATAAATCAAAATAAATTAATAAAATTAAAAATTTTTAAAAAGAAAATATGGTTTACTAACTTATTTAAATAACATTAATGATGTTTTAGTATATTAAATTTTTATCTCAGAGCATTAATTGTCTCTTTCTCTGTACTATATTGACAGGCAGTACGGTGTCAACATGAGGAGTGTGCTACTACCCTGCTCGAACATGGTGCGGACCTCAATCTTGTGGACACCGACAACAACACGGCACTTCACTATGCTGCCTTTGGACAGAACACAGCTATAGCAGCAAAGCTGCTGAAACACAACATGGACATTGAGGGAAAAAACAAGGTAGAAACCCACCTTTTGTATAATAAACTATTTTGTGAGTTAAAATGTGCAATCAGGTGGTGTCCAATTCACATATTTTGTAATTCATATATTCATGGAAGCATTTCTTTAATGAAAATAACTTAAAATAATTCTGTAGTCAACGTTCACTGGCCTTTGGAATTTTCTAATAGTGTGGAGGTGGAGGAGGAGGGGTGGGCAAACAAGGGAGGAGATTTTACTCACGTTGGACTTCCTAATGAGGAAACTCCCTCTACTGGTTTAGACTAGGGCCTGCTCTACAATTTAATCTTAGACTAGGGATTGTTACACAAGATACATTATCTTTAAAAAAGCAACAATGACTTAATAGTTGTCTTCATGTAATTGGCCTCCTTCACATTCTATATATTTACGCATTTAAAAACGTTATTCGGGAAAGGAATCCATGATACAACAAAACTTAAGAAACCCTGTCTTTATGCAGTGTCCTAGGGTACTGAAATGTTAAGTGACTCCTCAGGGTCACCCAGCTAGTATATGTGGGTGAGTGGCAGGCTCTGAATCTAGGTCTTACTGACTTCGAGGCTGTCTCTCTGCCCATTCCATCGCAGCTGTCTCTCCAGAATTTTGATTGCATGATACATTAGGTCTGCTCCCCAGGACACAGTGGTTCCACCAAATATTTGCCTACAATGCTTTTTCTGCCAATACACCTTTACATATGATAACACAATGTTAATTTGTCATGTAGAAATGCCATAAGTTTTTTTAAAATCTTTTTAAAAATGTGTTCCTACTAAGTATAAAAATACACAGACACAGAATTTTTGCAAGAATAAATTCTTAAGTGTATGTTTTTTATCTCCTATTTCCTAAAGACTATATACCCTTTCCTTTCTATAGTTACTGAATAACTCCTGATTTTTAGGAAAAGGTTTAACTCTTAGTCACTGCCAGTTGAGAGAGAAAAAAAAACATAAAGCATACTTTAGGAGGGCTGAGAAGAGAGGGAAATATGCCATGAAAATGACTTTCTTCCAGGTTTAATCACCTTGAGGCAAGATTTTCTTAAGTTTTGAGGCTGCTTATACACACTCAAGGGCAGTAGGTAAAGAGAAGTAGGCAAATGTAAAATTGACCATGGTATAGCTTTAGCTTGGCAAAGTACTGAGGAAATAAGGTTGGCTGCATGCAGACAATAAGTTCTCATGACACAAAGATAGCAAGAAAGGAAATAATATGGAACAGTCTCCTATAAATCCTGGGTCTCTATATACTAATCACAAATTTGTAGCTCTCTGGTTTCATTCTGTCATTTTACATATGAGGAAACTAAGAGAAGTGAAATAATTTGCTTATGATCACACAGGAATTAACTAACAGAAGCAGGATTGGTCTTCTTGCTCCAAAATTCCATCGTACCATACCTCCTTAACAAATTGTTAGCAAGTTCACAGGATGTTCACAAAATGCCTTAAGCTGAATTGATGTATACATATAGAATTTTTACATATTGTAACAATATCTTTAACATGATTTTGCAGGAAGGCTATACACCGCTTGTGGTTGCAATTAGAGAAAATAATCTAGCTATGGTAGATTTTTTCTTAAAAAATGGAGCAAATGTGAATGCCACGGATAACACTAAAAGGTACAGTAATTACTGCTTGAAATAAAATAAAGAGAGAAAAGTTTCTAGAATAATAAGAACAACTTAAACCATGGAACACATGGAACAACAATAATCAAAACTGGTTATCATTGTGAAAGGGTGAAAAATGTCCAAAAACATCCAGTATGAAAGAAAAACTATTATTCTTGACTGCAACAGAGAAAGCAGTTCATGTAGGCCTGCCAATCTTGGTTAATTGGTGATTACTATTTGCAGTTTTATTTATTTGATTTTAAGTTAGTTAAGATTATCCCAAAGAAGTTTTGTACTCTGGTGTTTCAGGTGATTCTCTTTATGAAATAATCTTCATGTCACCCATGAGAATTGTAGTGTGTGTTTTTCTCCTCTTCCTTCTTTTGATTTTCCTTAAGAATATGTGCATTGAGAAATATAAACGAATACGAGAATAACATGATGAAATACTTTAACGAACCTATGATCTTATCATTCTGGAAACTTGTGCCACTGGTTCATATTTTAACCTTTCCATGCCTTCTTATCCTACATGATTTTCATCATTGTCATTCCATAAATTCACCATAGAGGATCTAGGAAACACACTGGAGCTTTCTCCTGCTTCTTTTAATATATGAGGAACAGTGCAGTGAAAATTCTTTCTGGCTTTTATTTTTAATACAAGATTAGGTCATCCTCTTTTTTTTGTTTGTTTGTTTATCCATGTCTTTGAGAATGTCTGTCATACCACTTCCTACATCAAAGTCATTATTGCCTGAAACTCCTTATACTCACCATGCATATTTCCATGGCCTTTGAGATTATCTACAGTTTTGATCCTTCTGAGATTATTTTTGGTCTTTGGATTTTTCAAAAATCACTGTGGCCACATAGCATTCTTCAGAGAATATTGGTGTTTATACAATGAACTTTTGTGGCAATGGAGTCATTGTAAGTGCTGTATAGTTTCTCAAATGAAATTCAGTTGAATCTCCTTTTCCCAATAATTATGAGCCCAGTGCACTGCTGTTCTTCAATACCCATTCAAGCAGTGTGCGTGTGTATTAGGACACATATAAACACCTCTACAAAGATATAGATTGACCAAGTAGATGGGGCTGTCCTTTCAACTCTACGTAATCTAGGAAATATTTACTTTTCATTCACTTTTTCAGGGTGGATTCTTAGACCAATACATTTTGACTAAGTTTGGATTTCATCAAGGAGCTTTTTGTTCCAGGGCTTGATACAATCAGCACAATGTCATCCACAAATAGGAGCATTTGTAAATCTTTGCCATCATATACAATCTCTGTTCTATTTGGATCCTGTCCAGGACATCCTATGTAACACTGGGAAACACCTTAGGTGAGCATATGCCTCACAATTTACATCTAGCTTAATGCTGATACTTACTCATTGAACCAAGTTATCCCTTTGTGTGGCATGGGTCATTGAGCCTTGTATGATTTTAACATTAGCATGTGAGAAACTTGTTTGATATCACCAAAATTGAAAAACAAAACAAAACAAAACAAAAAGACAAGGACCTGACATTATCCTAACACACAAATAGGACTGATTACAATTGTTGGAATAATTTTGGAATTAGTTGTCTATATTCATTCAGATCATCGACTGTCCAGAATAAAGGTCAAAATTAATATAAATGAGAAAAAAGGATAAAGATGAAAAGCAGACAGTAGTCATAGCAGCTGTTTCCTCTTGTGATTAAGCATGCTATCAACTCCCCCAGATGAGAAATGGACATAGCTATTATCCAGTTAACAAGCTGGATTGTCTATATTATTCCTTCTTTGTGCCAATATTGATGACAGTAAGGTA